CTGGTGGTGGTGCAATGGGAGAAGGAAAGTTCCCCTGCTACTCCTCTACCTTGTTCATGGATTTCAGCGAACTGGATACCAACCTTAGCTGTTTGGCCTGTAACATCTTTCCACAGGGAAGGAGAGTGTTCTTGGGAGATACAACACACCAGTTAGGGCTCCTGTGCTACCTTGTATAGCAGTGAAAGCAGAGTCAGGCGGAGGAGGAGGACAAGGAGAAGGTCCCCTCCCCACTATGACATCCCAAGGCCATACTCATTGGTCTCCAGTTCAGGCTCCAAAATCACAAAGAATGGGTTGCCTAAGTGTGATTGTGGCTACCTTAGCTCAAGCTGTGTCATATCTTGGCCTCCCAAGGTCTACTTATTGCTTTGCAAGAGGCTAATAGTGTTGGAAGCAATTTTGTTTCCTCAGTGATTGAATTATATTTATAGATTAAATAAATCACTGCAACCAATGTAATGGGTGGAACCAGTGACAATAGTCTTGAGTGGCTCAGTGTTCAACATGACATATGGTATTATTATTACGTACTTAAATAGCATCAAAAATATACCAAGCTCTTAAGAAAAAAGATGGGATAATAAAGGAGCTTAAACAGACATGAATCAAAAGTGAGGGGTGGGTGGGACGGACTGGGATCATGGAAATAATGGTGTACTCAGCGTTTAAAATGAGGTGGAAACACAAGATGGAGTGTTATAATAAGCTTTAAAATACAGGGAATGAACAAAAAAGTAAAAAAAGGGAAAAGGGATATAGGTGAACTGCTGTTTCTAATTTACACAGAACACAGCGCGGCTGAAGCATGTTTGTGACTGCAGCGTTGTGTTGCAATCTTATAATGTGGATCACATACACATGCTTACCCATGAGTAGGGGTGCAATCAGATGGTGGGAAAGTTGTGACTTCAATTACACAGTCAAATACTGCAGGATTTGCTGCAGGTGCTACACAGTCATATATTGCAGGATTTGCTGCAGGTGTAAAATAGATGAATTTGCATTTTTAACAGATCATAGGATGCAAAGACCAATTTGAATTAGTATGGTCCTTTCTGCACCCGATACAGAGTTGTTGGGGTTTTTTTCCCCCTACGGCTGGGGGCTTCTACATTTTTCAATCCAGAACAATTTGAACAGGCTTTTCCTCATGTGATCGGCTGTTTCATTCTTCAAAAGCAGGGGTCTCCAAACTACGGCTGGCAGGCCACCTCTGGCCTGCCTTGCCTTTTTATCTGGCCCGGGCATAGGAAGAGGAGACAAGGGGGGCCCAAGCGATCCCCCACTGTCTTTGCAAAGACAGTGGGAGTGGGGGATTGCTTGAGTCCCCTTTCCCTCCTGAAAATATGTAAAATATATGATGTGGCCCTCATACTGAAAAGTTTGGAGGCCCCTGTTCAAAAGGATGGAGGGGAAGTGTTCACTGTTTTTTATTTTAAAAAAACTACCAAGTTTAGCACTAGATCACCTCTGCATGGATCAAAAGAAAAAAGATAAGAAAAGGATAAAAAATTATGAAATAGAAACAACTCCAGCAAACTTCAGCTGTGCTTCTGTGGTTTGTGGGTAGCTGTTTCCATGTTAAGGGGAACTTTGGACAACTGTCCCCTTTTCTCTAGTGCCGTACAACACTTTAAACAGCTTCCCAGCTTTACCATGAACCATAAAAGGAGAGATGGGGATCGGCAGAGGGCCACATCAAAGGGAGGGGGCTTGTGGGTTGTGGTGTGGATCAAAGCACTGAGTACGGACACTGGCACCAAAACAATCCATCGATGTTTAGTCGTTTAGTCGTGTCTGACTCCTGAGGATCGGCAGAGGGCAACATCAAAGGGAGGGGGGGGCTTGTGAGTTGTGGTGTGGATCAAAGTACGGACACTGGCACCAAAACAATCCCTTGATGTTTAGTCGTTTAGTCGTGTCCGACTCTTCGCGACCCCATGGACCAGAGCACGCCAGGCCCTCCTATATTCCACTGCAATCTTCCACTAAACAATCCATAGTCTCTGTGTAATCACTTCATTGGAACACAAGCATAAAATAGATTGTGAATAGAGATGCACATAAATTGTTATTTTGGTGGTTTGTCTTGGTTCGTTTTCTGGCGCACTAGGTGTTCAGTGGTTGTTTGGTGCCCCACCTCCTCCAGTGAGCACTCACTCAGAAACAATGCCCAGGGCAGGGAAGCTGAGACGGTGCTTCCAAACGGATGCCCACCAGAAGGGACGGGGTGCCAAACCACTGAACACCTGTTGTGGTGGTTAATGGACCAGGCTGAACTGCCGAACCAGCAGTTCATGCCCATCTCTAACCGCGAGCCAAGCTGCAGCAAAGCCAAATCCCTTTGATTCGGTTTGATACTGTAGTTGTATCCTGTGTCTGAGTGCACCAGAAAGAGTCACCTTGTGGGGAATGATCTTCCTTAACACGAACCCTTTCATCCTGGCAGGAATCACTCCAATCCATCACCCCAAAAAGTAGCCCTGCCATTGGACCGAAAAGGTCCGGCTTGGGCATGGATCGGATCACTATTGCCCATATATGTGAGATTGCCAGGAAATAGCTCACTCTGGACCAAGTCACAAGTCGTGCAAAATGTGAGCGATTTCCTTGTCTGATCACTAAGGATTTGACAGTTCGGACTGCTAGTGGAGTGCTCTAGTGCACTATACTTCCCACCAATCACATGACACACAAGGGCATGTGCTCCGCCCTTACCTTGATCCATGCCCAAGCTGGCCCTTTTTGGTCCATTTGTAGGGCTTTTACTTTTAAGGGTGAGGCTGGAACAAACAGAAGGGACACTTTTAATGAGATTGCTCCTGTGAAAATGACCCTTTCTGATGCAATCAGGTGCATACTTTAACAACTGTCTGATCACACCCTCAGTCACCGAACAAACCGCTACTTACAATTGACAAGATACACATAGGGTTGTGATGTTAGATATGAGTGCTACTGATTCGTGAAGGCTTTCGCGGCCGGGATCTAATGGTTGTTGTGAGTTTTTTGGGCTCTTTGGCCGTGTTCTGAAGGTTGTTCTTCCTGACGTTTTGCCAGTTTCTGTGGCCGGCATCTTCAGAGGGCAGCACTCTGTGCACAGACTGCTGTCCTCTGAAGATGTCGGTCACAGAGACTGGAGAAACGTCAGGAAGAACAACCTTCAGAACACGGCCAAAGAGCCCGAAAAACTCACAACAACCATTACTGATTTTTGTTTGCGCAGAAATATGTTCTGAACTGCAGACTATAGGTGGTAGTATAGATAATGTTTAGGTAAAGATAGTTCTGATGTAAGTGAGATGAGCACTTCAGTTCTAATTACATTTATATGAGAATGAGAGGACAAAATAATAAAATTGAAGATGCCTCTCAATGCTGCTGCTGCTGCTGCTGCTGCTGCTGCTGCTGCTGCTACTACTACTACTACTACTACTACTACTACTACTACTACTACTACTACTGGCGAGATTTCTATGACATTTCACACTTTCTCTGGAACCTATATTTGATCCCACCGGTAAGTTTAAACATGTATAATAATAAAAGAGAGAGAAGAAAGTGCCAAATAAGTTCAGTAAAGTAAAAAGAGAAAAAAACTGGAGATGTTTGGCAGAACAAAAGGTCAGACATTAAAAAAGAGAGAAGACTCAGGCAAATGAAGAATTCAAACAGAAAGGTAAAATAAAAGAATCAAGAACATAAGAAGAGGAGCCATCAATATTAACGTGCAAAAAGCAAGTATGAAAAATATAATAGAGATGAAGGTATGGTTGCTTGTGTACATATCCGGAAAGAAGGCAGGTCTTTTGTCAGAGTTCTGAGGTGGGAGAGACAGAGTTTAGAAAGTAACACTTCTGTGATCTGAGTCAAAAATACAACAAAAACATAATTCTTGCATTAGATTAAAAAAAGAATAAATCTAGTAATAATGAAAAGGGAAACATGGGAAAGATTGGCAATAGAGGTGGTCAAGTTGGCACTGAGTTAAAGTTCTGAACTTGGGTTCAATAATACCATTTCTGGGCTGAGTAATAGCTTGAACTTAGTAATGCCTTTATGAGGTTGAGTAATACCTTAGTTGGATCAATAAAACATCACAAATGAGGTTAGATTTTGAGTGCAGAACATTTTGCCAGACAAAGATGGTGGAAAATCTGGAGACAGGGAGAAAACAAATGGTCCACAAAGTTAGGCTGAATACGATGCCTGTTCTTTTTGAATGGAGCATGATAACAAGACCTGGTGGGAGTTTGCAGATTCAAGGTAAGACAAAAGGTATTGAGGCACTGATTTGCATTTCGCCCTCTTTTGGTGAACAAAAAGCCTGGACCCCAGAGATCTGTACCTCCATACTTCCCACCCCTGCTTGAAAACCAGAAGTCAGAAAAGTTACTTTCTTTGGACCACAAGTCTTACAAACGGTGCTAGCTGGGGCACTTGGGGGTTTGCATTCCAAAAAAGTAACTTCTCCAGCTCTGCCTAGAATATATCACTACCACGTCTAGGGAGTTCCACATCCAAAGAAACTTGAGAATGGGGAAGGGCGTCCATGATTAGTGATTTTCTCACTGGAAAATCAGTGACAGACCATATGTCTAGGGAGGTCCACATCAAAAGAAACTTGCGAATGGGGAAGGGCGTCCATTTTGTTCCACGATTAGTGATCTTCTCACTGGAAAATCAGTGACAGACCATAGAAAGTGTGAGGCATTAAGAGCACATGAGATACATGGTTAATGTTTGTTCCCTCGGTGTCTGCAATACTATGCTTATTTTGTTTTTGGATGCTGCCTACTGAAAGAATGTTGAGTTGACCAAACACAAGGCGACACTGATGGTAAGTCAACACTTATGTAAGTTCTGTGGTTTCATTGAGTGTACTCTATCTGAGATTAATCACCGGACGTAATCCTTTAATGCCAGTACATGTACAAAGAAAGGCATTTCAATCATTTTATCTATATTTCTTTTTTTAAAATATATTTCAATTTTAGCAAGAAGCAAAAAGGAGATGACCATCGAAGGCTTCGTAAGATACATGCTTTCAGAAGAGTGCAACATATTTAAACAAGAGCACAAGTCCATTTACCAGGATATGAGCCATCCGATGTGTGATTACTTTATAAATTCGTCACACAACACCTACCTGATACAAGACCAGCTCATAGGGCCGAGTCACCTGTGGGGCTACGCCAAGTATGTACATATCTTTGAGGAGGGAAAAAAATCTCTGCAAATAGGTTTCTTTCATATGTCTTTTAAGAAGAAATGTTTTCAGATCTTAAGGGGGAAAATCCGATGAGGAGCAACAGGAAAAAACAAATCTGAAATATGGGTTAAGATCATGATGAGACATTTCTCCTCCTTATCTACTTAGTTTATAACCTAACTCTCAGGGCTGGGAAAAGTTACAGCTTTTCATAATCCCACAGAGGTGGAGAAGTTTTCCGAACTATTGGCCAGAATCCTACTCAGGTGTGTAAGATCTGCATAACTTGCCATGGCTAATTTTGCCACAAAGCTCCTTGCTTGCACATCTGCTCACAGACCTGATTGTGCAATTAAGCTGCCATTCCCTTGACTGACTGCTGATCTGTTTCTAGGCACAGCTCGAAGTCCTGGTTTAAAGCTATGAAGCCCTAAACGGCTGGGGTCCAAGCTATCTCAAGAAAGGTGTCTCTCTTTATGAGGCTGTCAAGGTGTTCAGATCATCAGGGGAGGCCTTCCTTTCCATCCCACCACTTTCACAGGTGTGTTTGGTGGGGACATGGGAGAGGGCCTTCTCTGTCACTGGTCTCAGACCATGGAGCTCCAGGCTATTCCCACTGGTGCAAGCAGATGAAAAATCTTTCCCTTCAGCAGGGTTAGTGATTGGCTGCCTGAGAAGGGGTTTTAACTGGAGTATTAATGCTTTGTTGCTTTGAATGTGTTCTTGGTGTTGCTTTTGTGTACCATTTCTAGTGTGGCATTTGTTTGATTCTTTTTTTATTGCCTTTTAATGATGTAAGCCACCTTGGGTCCTTTTTTTATAGAGGAAGATGGGGTAAATTTATGTTAAATAAATAAAGTGCAAACCTAATGTGAATCGCAATAGGATTCTGGCCAAAGTCTAAAGAAGCACTTTTTCCTAGTTCTGCCAATAATGTATTCTCATTGGTTGCCAACAACACATTTTCGAACCTAAGGAGTTTGTTAATGGTACTGTGATTTCATGAGGTTGAACCAAGACAAAACTGAGCCACATTTTATTCCCAATGAAATCAATGGAAGATGCTGATCATAGCTATCATTCTCCAGCAGGGCCCTTCCACTGGCAGAATCTGCTTCAGTGGTGTGTGTGTGTGTGTGTGTGTGTGTGTGTGTGTGTGTGTGTGTGTGTGTGTGTGTGTGTGTGTGTCTGTGTCTGTGTCTGTGTCTGTGTCTGTGTCTCTGTGTCTGTGTCTGTGTGTGTGTGTCTGTGTCCTGTTCCAGCCCATTATAGCATATCTTAATTATTTTAATATTTCTTGGCCTGTTGATTGTTTCCTGTTGAACATATCCCACCCTATCGGGCAATATGGTTGTTTACTTATATTTGTTGACCTGTTTTATTTTACTCTTCTGAATACTTAGTAATTATCTAGTAATTATTGATTGGTTTTTATATGCTTTACTGTATTTTGAAGTATGATTTAACAAGCTGCTATGGTTTAATAGCTCCCCATATATATAAATAATTACAACTGATATCAGTCATAATGATCTGTCTGTTGAAACATTAAGGACTCATTATTTTGATGGCTGAATTTTGTATTTCTGCATATTTTTGGCAGTTTCGATGTCAAATGCTTTCAGCGCAATGTATATGGAAAGACTATGAATAAAATTCACATTCGCGACTAATGTTGCATCAAAAATATCTTGATTTTAGTGTTCACTTTGACATTAGGATGATCTATGTAGCCAAGCAGAAGACTGAAGAAATATTGCTTTGTGGAACACAGGCGCCGTCTCAGTGCTGTTTGATGCATTTTTGTTCACTTGTATATCAGTTTTCTTTGTGCAATTCCCTTCTTACGATTTGCTGTGGCATTTATTAATGTGACAGTGACTTCATGGCAAATGTAAAAGAGCCCCATGGGTACAGTGGTTAAACTGCAGTGCTGCAGTCAAGCCTTTATTTACAACCTGAGTTCAGTCCCAACAGGATCATGTAGCCAGTTCAAGGCCAACTTAGCCTTCCATCCTTCTGATGTTGGTAAAATGAGTATTGAGGGAGAAAGTGTTGCTTGCATAATTGTAAACTACTGAGAGAGTGCTCTAGCAGTATAAGGTGGTATATAAGTCGAAACCTCAGGACCAACAACAAGGTGTCAGAAATATGGGCTTGTTGGAGCAAAACAAGCCTGAACTCTCTTTAGGAACAAGAAAGACTAAACTGAGACTATCATACTTTGAACACATTGTGAGAAGACAAGAGTCACTGGAAAAGAATAATCTTGGGAGAAGCTGAAGGTAGCAGGAAAGAGCATGGCTGAAGATGAGATGGATTGATTCAGCCAAAGAATCTACAGTCTTGAATCTGCAAGACCTGAGCAGGACTGTTAATGGATAGGACCGTTTACAGGGTTGCCATAAATTGGAAGAGACTTGGCAATACATAACAACAACCCAGGGCATGTGTGATGAAGATATATCAGCCCTGGAAGAAAGAAAGCTGCTTGAAATGCACTGGGTTGAATTAAGATTAAGCACTTCTCTGTTGCTTCCCTGCACTACAGGCGCTTCAAATCTTTGTACAGCTGTAATGATCACTATGTGGCTTTTGATAATTTAGTATCCTACTTACCAGAGTTGTTGTGAGGATTACATTGGCTTACCCCACAAAGGAGTGAGTTGATTGAAAGAAAGGCAAGGTGGACAGATATCTGTCTGTCTCTGTCTCTGTTTCTATCTGTCTGTCTGTCTGTCTGTCTGTCTGTCTGTCTGTCTAGCTAGCTAGCTAGCTAGCTAGCTAGCTGTCTAGCTGTCTAGCTAGCTGTCTAGCTGTCTAGCTATCTAGCTAGCTATGTAGCTATGTAGCTATGTAGCTAGCTAGAGGTCTAATCACAGTTGTTTGTCTCACCTAGAGTAGACCCATTAAATGAAAGCAATTTGTTTAGCCAACACTTGTTTAAATACATCTATTCTAGTAGAAACTAACAACTGGATTTAGTCCAGAAATATAGGTGGCAGGTGAATAGTCTTAGCCCATTACTTGCAAGTAGAGATGGGCACAAACTGAACTATGAACTGAAAAAAACTGGTTTGGGTTCTGCAAGCTGTTTCAGCAAAATGAAACAAAGCCCTCTGCCCCCTTCTCACTGTTCCCATCACCTCCCTAACTGGTCCTGAAGCCTCCTCTTCTTTCTCCTCTGCCACCGCCATCCTTAGAGACAGTGGCCTGGCTTCCTGGAAGGGGAAGAGGCTGGCGACGTTAGTTTCCCCTCCCCAAGGCATGAACCAGAAAAAACAAACCATGGACCCGTTAACTTTTCTAGGGTTCATGGGTGGTTCGTGATTTGTGGGTAGCCCTGATTCACCTTATTTCCAGATTGTGCCCATCTTTGCTTGCAAGTATGAATAAATCCACTTCTAACATGATCTCTCTTGTCATTTTTAGTACTAAAATGAAGACATGGAACTTGGCATGTAGATAGTGCTTTGGGAAACAAAGTAAGATTTTTTGTCCGAATGCACAGGCAGTTATGACCCAGAGAGGTCTCCAATTTCGTACTGGAAGCTCCAGTATGTTCTGGCCCGTGCCAAATATAACTAAAAGTCTTTCAGAGCCCCAAAGACCCTTGGTTGTTGCTTTATTCCCCTGCAACAAACAGTCCTTTTGAATATTTTTCTTCTGATAGCTCAAGTTCATTTGTGACAGAGATCTGTTTTGAAAAATGCTGTAAGTTATTGGAAAATATTCCTTCCTGTTCAAACCCTTGGAGTAATAGAGGCTCTCTACTGAAACACGTGCTTCTTGGGAGTCAAAAAGCAACATGAATGTTCGTGTAAGATCCAAGGAAGCTGCCTTCTTCAGAGAATAGAAATAGGTCTCTGTAGCCAAATAGTATACACGGGCTGTGATTCTCCTGGTCTTTTGCCAGATGCTTTCCTAGCCTTACCTGCAGGTTCTATGGACAGAGTCTGCAGTCTTCTGTAAGTCTAGAATGAAGTATGACCTCTATAACAGGACACAGATGCTTCTACATTAAAATGATTGTTGCTCTTGCCTTTCTTTTTCTTTTTCTTTTTTTTTTTTTTTAAAAAGTTCCCTAAAGAAGGGATGCCGCTGTGTGGAAATTGATTGCTGGGATGGGCCAAATGAAGAACCCGTTGTCTATCATGGACATACTTTAACGAGCAAAATCACCTTCCAGAATGTCATCAATGTGATCCACAAGCATGCCTTTGAGGTGGGTTGATAATCTTCTTCTTCTTTTTGAGCGGGGTGAGGAATGGTAGAATATAAGATTTAACAATGAAATAAATTGCTATGAACCTGCCTGAGTATTAAGATCATCAGGAGAGGCCTTTCTCTTGATCTCACTACTCTCACAGGTGTGCTTGGTGGGGACACGGGAGAGGGCCTTCTCTGCTGCTGCTCCCAGACTCTGGAACTCCCTCCCACACCCCCATCAGACAAAGACCTTTCACTTTAGGCACGCTTTCTTCTGAATGACTGGTTGACCGAGGGAATTTTTTAAAGGAATCATGGAATTCTGTTGTTTTACTTATCCAAGGACAGTATCATAAAAAGGGGCGGAGTGGATTTGTTCAGGCATAGAAAAAACCAAATGGTTCATATTGGAGAATGCTTGATGATGAGCTTGGCTCCCATACTTTTCTCTGATGGTTCAGTTCCATTTGGCTATAACCCTCAGCAGTTTGAACTAACCACAGTTTTCTCTGTTGACTTATACTGGGAAACTCTGGTTTGTTTTTAAAAAAAGCAGAAGCATTAAATTTCCTCTTCTAGGGTTAATGAAACAGGGGAGGAGTGATGTGAGTATAGAAATCTGAGGTGCATTGTATGTTAATAACCAGAATTATATATTCTGGTTATAAACATACAATATATATATATCTCCTCCTCTGTTCCATTAACCCTAGAAGAGGAACTTTAATGCTTCTGTTTTTTAGATATATATAATAAAACCAAATAATTAAATACACAATCTTTATATCCCACCTTTCTCCTTTAAAAAGCCCTTAAAAAGACCCAGCACTGAAGGAGGGGGAGTTTAATTCTGAGTGAGTTGGGCATAGAATTCCAGAGTGGAGCACCAGGGTTATGACTCATGAGCCTTCTTGTTGCACAAAGCCTGGCAAGAGCATTGCAACTCTCCAGAAAAACCCCTCCTTCAACCCTTGCCTGCCCTATCTCTCTGTCATCATCAGGGGCAGCCTCACAACATCACAATGGACTGCTGCCATCATTTTGGCCTGAAATTTCAGGAAACAGGGTGCTGCTGACTTGGCAACCCTTGGCAGAGGTTTCCAAGCAGCTTGAAAAGAGAAAGAAAGAAGTTGAAAATTGATGACAATTTTAAAAAATAGCAATTAAAGTATAAGGCAACATAAAAATATGTTGCAGAAACAGCAAAAATGTCTTCAACCTGAAACAGAGTAAGGGCATGGGAATTTTAAAAAAAGCTCTCTGAGTGACGCCAAAGCAATACTGTTTATTGAATGCATGCCAGATAAGCCTTTGGGCTCTTTGGATCTCAGCCATGTTGTTAAAGATTTAGAAATGTATCGGGGAATGTGTGGAGGAAGAACAGAAGACATAGTGCAAAAGCATTTACTTCGTCACAGCTTGCCCTTATTGTTCTGAAACTCATACAGAAATACTTGAATATTTATAGGCTACAAATATCTCTCTGGCTGGATAGCTCAGTGAGTTTGGCATCTAGCTGTAGAGCTAGAGGTTGGGTGTTCAATTCCCCACTGTGCTTCCTATGAGAAAAGCCAACCTGTGCGGCCTTGGGAAAACTGCACAGTCCCAGGGATCCCCCAGAAAGGAATGATAAACCACTTCCGAATATTCTCTTCCTAGGAAATCTTGAAAAGTATCATCATAAGGTATAACTGATGTGACAGCATGCAACAAACAAATATATCTCCCTACCAAATTTCACAAGGGAAATGTAAAAACTGACAAAAATTCAGAGTTCTGAGGAGTCTGAATTATGATTTCATGACGATCTCATAAACGCTACCTCCATTGTTATCATAGTCAATTTTGGTAACACTTTGTATGAAATCCTGTTGTTTTTGCGTAGTAAGTTGCACTAGAATAGCTTCACTGAATCAATGGGGATTTAGTGAGTCAACTCTTCCTTAAGCACTATAATTCAAATGGGCTACTTTAGCTGAAACTTACTTTAGTAGATCCAATTGAGACAACAGAACTTACTGAAATTCCCACTGATTCAGTGGGCCTACTGTAGTGGGAGTGACTACACTAAGCAACAGGATTTCAATCTTCATTCCACCTGACATATGGCTCTGAACTCTTTATGTTCATTGCCATGCACTTCCTTGTTTAATTTATATTAGGATTATTTGGTATTTTATACTGGTATAGAAGAGCAGTAAAGTGGCCCCAGTGGGAGGAGAAGGAAGGAAATGAGCCCACAACTCACAATCTACATATAGATTTAGAAAAGACAAGAAGAAAAATACTTGGTTATCTATCTTCCTATTCCCCTTCCTCCCATAGATATAGATCAATTGCTATACAGTGGTGTCTCGCTTGACGAGGATAATCCATTCCAGCGAAATCGCTGTAGAGTGAAATCCTCGACAAGCGAAATAAAAAAGCCAATTGAAACACATTGAAAACCGCTCAATGCATTCCAATGGACTAAATACCTCAGCGTCCAGTGAAGATCCTCCATAGGGCGGTCATTTTCTGATGCCTGTGCAGCGAAAAATCCGTCCTAAAGCACAGCGGGGAGCCATTTTGAAACCCGACGATCAGCTGTTTTGATCGTTGTAATGCAAAGAATCGGTTCCCGAAGCAGGGAACCAATTGTCAGGAAGGGAATTTTTCCCATTAAAACATCGATTTGCGATCGCAAAAGTGATTGCAAAAATCTCATCGTCAAGCGGATTCGTCATTTAACGAGGTAATCATTAAGTGAGACACCACTGTATGTGCCATTGTTCAGTTTCCAACAATGTCAGAGTGTAATGAATATGGCCATACTTCTGTGCTTTTTAGCAGTTGTTATATTTCATTGCTGTTGTTTCTGGGTGCAAAGAAAGGGTCCAAAGCAAGGATGCAACAAATATTTACAAGCCATCTCAAGTAACAACAACAACAACAGCAAAAACAACCAGCAATAGAAATCATCAATAAACTGTGTGGAAAACTTGCATTTTACGTCAGATCTCTTAGGTGTTTGTTTTTTTGGTCTGTGCCAAGCTCAAGGTTTTCTCCACAAAATCCAAAAGCACTTTAGCAAACGTATTCTCGAAGGCTTTCATCGCTGGGATCTAATGGTTGTTGTGGGTTTTTCGGGCTCTTTGGCCGTGTTCTGAAGATGCCGGCCACAGAGACTGGCGAAACGTTAGGAAGAAAAACCTTCAGAACACGGCCAAAGAGCCCGAAAAATCCACAACAACTTTAGCAAATGTTTTGCCAACATGGAAGGCAAAACCAACCAAAACCAACCACCCAACCACCCAACCAAGCAACCAACCACAAAATGCCTTATAATCTTGCTGATAACGAAAACTTTGAACTGTTTCATTCTCACCTGTGAGAAGAAGTCAAGATTTACACATTTAGTCTCAATGGCCTTAATGCTGCGTTTTTTTAATTTTCAGGCATCAGATTATCCCATTGTTTTATCTTTGGAGAACCACTGCAGCCCACCGCAACAGGAGAAGATGGCAGCTCATATGCTGGACATTCTCAGAGACACTCTGTGTACTTCAACACTGGATGATACGATGCCATCGGCACTACCCTCCCCAGAGGTACAGTTGTTCCTCCCCCAACGACCCCCTTCATCTTCTGGAAAATTAAACAATGAGCTTTTATGGGAAGTGGTTGAAGTTGGAACTATCTACAAACTGAGAGGGGAAGAGGGGGGAATGCTGTCTTTATCCCTCATACGATCAAACAAACTCTTGTTCTAAACTATCTTAATCTCACTTATCTCTTCTTCTGCTGAAGAGTTGAGAGAAAATTTTGAAAAGCTTACTCCTGTAAGCTATGTGTGTATGATTAACTGATTTCATTAGTGTGTCCAAATGGCTTCCTCATAAAATACTATGGTTATGAACAGAAAAACTGCCTTGTGACAGTCTTTACTTCTCAGCTTAATTTACCTCACAAGCTTGTTTAGAACATTAAAAAAAAAAAAAAAAAAAGGAGAAGCTGGGAAACCACAAATACTGTTTTGAATTTCTTGGAGAGATAGTTAGCATATGCCTGTAGTAATGGTCGGTATTGCAAAGGATGTGAGGTCATGGGAACATGGATTCATTAGCCTGTGGCCAGGGATGGGAATTGTTTGGCCCGTGTACCTCACAAATCCCCAAGGCTGTGAAGGCTCTGTGGTCCGCGATACAAGAACAAATTTAGCCTAAAAATAATGCTCAATTGCTTGTTGGAAGGATATTTCACCCCCCACCTTGACCTCTTCTAGGCCTCAAATAGTATAGTATAGTATAGTATAGTATAGTATAGTATAGTATAGTATAGTATAGTATAGTATAGTATAGTATAGTATAGTATAGTATAGTATAGTATAGTATAGTATAGAACAACATAGCACAGCACAGGCATACTGTTTTTCAAGTAGTAGGAACAATTTGAAACACAGACTTTCCGGGTGAAAGCAAAGAATCAAATGGACATATGAATGTGCTCAAATGGCACAATTCTAACATCAGGCATCAATACAGTCCTACGTTTTTCTGTTTTCTGCTTAGCATTGCATCGTACTCCATTTTCATACAGCTGGTTCCCCTCTGCCTGTGAAGCAGCAGCCAAACACACCTACTGAAACATGTGTCTGAGAGGACAGAAGAATGTAGCGATATTATTTTAATGTAGCAGTGTTTCTCCTTTTAATATTTGCTCACAGTTATACCTCCTTTTGTAGTTGAGGGAGCACTCCTTCCAGACATGAATTCTTCATATGGTCTAGTCAGTGAGACCTCGAATATTCCTTGGCTCTTTGTCATGTTTTAAACTAATATAGTTTGCTTGTAATTTAGAAAACTTTGAACGGACATTGCTCTGTTCACTAGCCTTTTAATATTATTATATGAGTAATTAGGTTTTTTAATGACATAAGTTCCTGTGTTTTTATTTGCATGCTTTCTATAACTGTTTGTGAGCTGCCTTTGTTTTCTACATCAAGAAAAAGGTGGCACAGATTAAAATAAAATAAAATGATGATGATGAATGCTCTAATATTTCTTTCTGCAGGAACTGAAATTCAAGATCTTAATAAAGAACAAGAAAGTTGGTACACTGGAAGATACCCTTCAACGGAGAGGTGAGAGATGTCGGGGCCAGACTGGAGAAACTGAAGATACATCAGCATCAGAGGAAGAAGATGATGCTAAAGGGCATTTGCTAAAGAAGGCACTCCCTAAGAAGGCACCTCCAAAGAAGGACAAGGACAAGGTAAATATACAGCAGTGGATGGTTTAGGACTTTTGGTGGAACACACAAATACCCTTCATGGGACATTGGGTTATGGGACTAATGATTTTGAAAGTTCTCATTCTTACCAAGAATGAAATGCAAGAAGATATACATCCTTAACATCCAATGCAGACAGCTGGCCAGAAGGTCACCCTCGACTACCTCACATTGCAGGGCTATAACACTTGTTAACCTTTCTTTCCAGGGCCATAAGGTGAAGGTAGCCATGTTGCTGTCAGAACTTGTGATTTTCACAGCATCCCGAAAGTTCGTCAGCTTTGAAGATTCCAGGGAGAAACAGAAATTTTACCAAAATAATTCCATCGGAGAAGTGAAGGGCCAAAAACTTATTAAAAAGAAAGGTAATTCCAAGGGTTTAAAAATCCTTAAATAAGTATAGTCTTTTGCTAGTTACCTGCCAAGTGACAGGAACTATAAGACTGGCCCCACCAGTTTAAAAGGCAGCGAGAAATCAATCTGCCAGTGGCCCAAAGAGATGGCTGTTTCTGAGTCTACGTGAGTAAGGACTCTCTTCTGGATTTTAGTCTGAACTTTACAGAAATTATCCCAGGTGCTAAATCCTATCCCTGAAAGAACTTCAGCACTGCGGTAAGTCTCTGTAAAGCTTGGACCCAAAGCCAGCATGGATTCTCTCTCTCTCTCTCCCTCCCACCATTCCATAGGGAAAAACTGACTAAACTGGCTTGCTGAATCTTATTATAACACTGAAAAGCAAGTAACACCTCTATACCCCAGGAGGGCAGCCAGCTCATTTAAGAGGCATAGTACAGAGACGACATGACACAAGGGATACGAGAAATACCTGGAAAACTCTTTAAGCTCATTGATTTTTGCTGTCTCAACCCAACGGTGCACCTGGATGGGGAATTTCACAGCTGAGTGAGAGTCCTTGTTTGCTGCTAAGACTGAGACAAAAACTCGGGCTTGCAGTTTCTGTAGCTGGTGCACAATGAAAAGCCAAGCATCTATCGATAGTAGGCAACCCCAGTTCAAGCCTTTGGATGATCCATAAAACTCAACAGCAGTCCTCCCAGTCTTGTACAATGAAGTTGCTCAGATTGCTGGAGACGTGTATAGAAAAAGAAAGCAAATGAAACATGGCCTCATCATTGGGAGGGTGGGTTAAGAGCAGGAGGAAATCTCAGTCGGTACAGAAAAGAATCGCACTAATTCCTATTTATCACCGACAAAGGTGTGATAAATAAGGATCTGATACCGTTACACACAACCAGTATGTCTGGTTTATCAGCAACTGAAGACAGTAGCCTTACTCTGCCTAACAGTTGGGCCGGTCCTATTATAAATATGCATACATTACCAACTATTTTAAATATTAAATTATTCAAAAAGGGGCACACCCTTGCCTGTGCATCTCTATGAAACAATTTTTTGAAAACATCTCTTTTCAGTTGACTCACCTTGCCAAATAAAAGGTCTGTCTCGTTCACAAATACAGTAGGACCCCATATCCACAGGGGGTCAATTCCAAGGCTGTGGATGCTGAAAAATATTATTGCAAACACTATTATAACAGCAAATGTTAAATATAAACATGATCTCTGGTTCCAACTAGTGGTGGGGTCCGGTAAGTTCATCATTAGAAATATATATTTTTGGGATGTTTCTTTTAATATTTTTAATGTTTTCAGGCCTTGGATAAGTGAATCAGTGGATACTGATCCGACAGATAAAGGAGTCCTAGTGTATACATAAAATACTCTCAACATTCTACATTTTAACAACATTATTAAGAAGAAAAGTGCACTAATTTGTACCTTACCCATTTCCCCCCCTGAAGTATGATTTTGAAAATGTGTCTTTCAGCCCCTGACTTTGTCTCACACACTGTCCGCTTCATTACAAGAATTTATCCCAAAGGGACCAGGACGGACTCTTCAAATTATGATCCACAGGAATTCTGGAATGTTGGTTGCCAAATGGGTAGGTTTTGTGTTGTTGTTTTTTAAATATCATATTGCATCCTCACATTTACACGGTACAGTTTTTGAGGTGGTAAGTCTTCCATGGGGCTCAGGGGCAGAGGTAAGAAAGAGGTTGAAATGAAGTCAAATGCAATGACCACTATCCTGTTTGCCATAAACTGTACAGAACGGTCTTTTTCTCTGTGTGGTTTCTACCTTTTGAACAAAGCAAAAGCAAAGTGTGCTGTTTATATGTTGCCTCATAGAGCTTAGAGCACTCTCTGGGCGGTTTAATTATGTAGGTTACACACTGCCCCTCCATCAAGCTGGGTACTCAGTTTACCAGCCTCAGAAGGATGGAAGGCTGGGCAAGCCTTGAGCTAGCTACCTGAGCTTGTTGGGATCAAACTCAGATTGGGAGTAGGGTCTTGACTGCAGTACTGCAGTTTAACCACTGTGCCCTAAGGTAAAGGTAAAGGTTCCCCTTGACATTTAGTCCAGTCATGTCTGACTGTAAGGCGCGGTGCCCATCCCTGTCTCCAAGCCGTAGAGCCAGCGTTTGTCCGAACACAGTTTCTGTGGTCACGTGGCCAGCGTGACTAGACACGGAATGTTCTTGCCCTAAGAGGAAATTTTTAAAAAAACTGTGCAAAGGAACAGCCTCATTGCCTTCAACAGAGCATTTCCCATTTTGCTTAACCTCAGTGTAGAGATTGTCATAGCGGAGATGGTGCATTTGCAAATAAGGTTGCACTTCAATAAATGGATGCCACAAGAGGCACTCAGCTGCAACTGTTCTTTGCCCTAGAAATACAAATGGAAGGCGAAAGAACAGTTTGGATCCATCCCATAGGCAAAAGTCCAGGAGTTAGCAATTGCTGTTAAAAAATATCAGGAAGAGAGGATCAACTGGCTCTCCTCCAGCTCCTAGGTACAAATGTCCACCTCAGTTTTGCAGAACAGATCTCCTTCTTTCACGGTTCTCTGCCAACCACTTTCCTTTGTTTCCTTGTTTACTCACGTCCAAGGTTAGGGCTCTTCCGACAGGGCGCCTGTTTTCCTTTGGTGTTCGCTTCTAATTTCAGTTTTAAATTGTAACTGAATGATAACCTGGGCCAACGCAAGGAAGACTGCCTTTCTTGAGGGGGAAGCCCATCAAAACTGATAGGACTTCCTTTGGAGCAAGCAGGAACAGTCCATGACCCAAGCACGGAGGAGCACCTCAACCCAAACTGGTGGGACGAGGCATTGCTCCAATGGGCCGCTGGTAAAAAAGAAAGGTTGTCTAGCACAGAAATCTGAATGCAAAGGCATTGTTGCTTCTCTTTCAGAACAGTAGCGTGCAACAGATATTTGCTTCTTAAACATTTATATCTCAGAAGGAAAGGCCCACTTGAATCAATAAAACTTAGGAGGGAGTTGATTCACTAAATCCCCAGTGATTCAATGGACTTACTGTTGTTGCTTTGTGCCATCAAGCCCCCTCTGACTCGTGACAACTCTATGAACGAGTGATCTCCAAAATCTTCAACAGCACTTCCCAGCTCTTGCAAACTCAAGCCTGTGCTTTCTTTAGGGAGCTAGTCCATCTTGTATTTGGTCTTCCTCTTTTCTTACAGCCTTCCGCCTTTTCCAGCATTATTGTCTTCTGTAGAGAATCCTGCCTTCATACAATGTGCCCAAAGTAGGGCAGCCTCAGCTTCGACATTTTTACCTCCAGAGAGAGTTCAGGTTTGATCCAGGACCTACGTGTTCCTCTTTCTGGCACTCCAGGTTATCCACAAAGCTCTCCTCTAGTACCACAGTTCAAATGAATGGATTTTTCCCCCTTGTTGGCTTTCTTAACTGTCCAGCTTTCTCCACCCGCACACGGTGATTGAAAATAGGAGAGTGTGGATGATCTTGGCCTTGGGCCTACTCTAGTGCAAGTTATGACTCTAAGGAACAGGATTTTAGCTAAGAGTTTCCTTCCTACTATGTCCCACATTGTCCCACAGAATTGCAGCGAATCCCTGTATGCAATTGTACAGTTTGTTTCAACTTGAAGCGTCCAAGAAAGCAGAGGAAACAATTGTATTTCCTTTCTGCTATAGCTACCGGTTGTTTTGATCTTCATCATCCGTAACAGAATCTGCATATAACATAGAACAAAAGACAAGCTGATTTATTATGATGATATTAACTCTTTGGCACCGAAAGCTTTGGTGCAATGTGTAGCTGGCAGGGAACATCTCGCTGGAATGAAAAGATCATTAATTGAGTGCCACTCGAGGCTTGTGCAAACCGCACTGTAGAAAATTGGATGTTTTATAAATGTCACTGCAGGAGCCAGAAGTGAATGGGTCACATGGGGGGAGTGACTTCATTTCCATGAGAATTGAAAGAAGGTTCTGGACCCAAGAGCCTTTCTTTTTGAGATATAAATATTTGAATCGCTCCTTGTGTTATTCATCACTGAGCTTGTGTTACAGGAACTAGAACAAAGTCCCTTCTTCGCAGCCATTAAGAATGTCTTGTTCTGCACACAAGAGTTCTTATGTATATTTTATTTCAATGGATGTTGCACTGAGTTTGGAGAGACTTACTCCCATATATTAGTGCACAGCAGTCTACCATCTTCCATGCCAGATCATGAACAGTTTTTATTTGAAATCTCTGTTTTGTTTAATGCCTTCATATTAGTGTTTTACTCCGGCAAACCTTTCAGGGCTTTCAAAGTAGAGAACACTCAGAAATAGGTTACCATTCCCTTCTTCTGGGCCCATCCTAGGACTATGCAGCTTGCCCAAGGCCACCTAGGCTGACTCTTCTCCAAGGAGGCACAGTAGAGAATTGAACCCCCAACCTCTGGCTCCACATCCAAATTAAATCACTGAGGTATCCAGCCAGCTCTAAATAAGATACAGTGGTGCCTCGCTTTACAATTGCCCTGCATTACATCGAATCTGCTTTACGACGATCTTTTTGCAATTGCAATTGTGATCGCAAAACGATGGTCTAAATGGGGGAATTTCGCTTGGCGATGATCGGTTCCCTGCTTCGGGAACCGATTCTTTGCAAAATGATGTTTTTCTAACAGCTGATCGGTGGTTTCAAAACGGCTGTCGGGTAATTAAAATGGCTCCCCGCTGTGTTTAGGGACGCATTCCTCGCCATACAGGCAGCGAAAATGGCTGCTGTATGGAGGATCTTCGCTGGACAGTGAGTTTTTACCCCATTGGAACAAATTGAACGGGTTTCAATGTGTTTCAATGGGTTTTTTTATTTCACTTTATGATGTTTTTGCTTAACGGCGATTTTCCTGGAACAGATTATCATTGTTAAGTGAGGCACCACTGTACATACACAAATTATGTTAAGTTATGTTACAATATTCTGTTTTGCAAAAAGGTGTTTCACTTCTCCGATGCTTGTCTGGATATTTAGTTGCTCTCCAAAGGACTCACATCAATGTAAAAGAAAGGGGAAGCCCCTGTCATCAGGTTTACCAAACAAAATATCTAGGCAGGCAATGGAAACTGAATGAAGGAATGGGGAAAAATTCCATCGGCTTGCTTCTATCGTTCACACCTACACCTGGCTTGCTTCTACTGTGGTGTGTAATTGCACGTGTATATATCTTTTTTTAAAAAACCACTTTTTTTCCCAGTGGCCTTAAATTTCCAAACACCAGGAGTCCAAATGGATTTACTAAATGGAAAATTTTTGGACAATGGCGGTTGTGGTTTTGTGTTAAAGCCAGAATTTCTAAGAAGGAGAGACACAACCTACGACCCACATCAGATGGCTGCGAAATACAGCCCCATTACACTGACAATAAAGGTAAGATGGTTTTGTTGAAACTTTTACTGAGCATTTATGGAACCGTTATTTTGCATAATGGATCCAACTCTGCACTTCTCATCAGCAATTATTAGATATTCTATTATTAGATATTCTATCTCCCAAATTCATTTTAGATTAAATGGTTCATATGTAGTTCAGCAGCATATTTGTGGTGGACAGGGACTCTGTTCCCTGCAGACAGCCTCCTGCTTGAGGGTGTAGATCCTTGCTTCTCTTATCCATGCACTGACAAGGGATTTCTTCTGTTCATCGAAGACTGTAAGAAATACCCTAATAAGTCATATTCACAGCACTGTGTTTTGCACAAAAAGGCTAATTTCTGCACAGAATTGTGTCATGTACCCCAAAATAGGTCAACCGTTGCTTTATTTAAGAACTTGAAGCACTACATGGATTATTTGCATCTTTCCCAAGAATCAACTAGCTTTCTATGCTGTGTGCACGTAAGATACTGGATTACATTTACATATATCACAGAGAGGGAGAGAAATGATCTTTGTTTTGCTCTGGCTGGAAGTGAGGAATCTCACAGGGCTTGAAAGTTGCTTGTTGAAGTTTCTCATAGAAACTGACCAAGTCTAGAAGAACAAGGAATTTAACAAGTGTCTACACCTGTTCCCCATGGCCATATTGGAGGAAAGGTTTGCAACACCCAAATTTCTCCTTCTTTATTCCAAACTTACCTTCAGAGTCTGTCTACACTATACTATACAATCTACTATACACTATTTACTATACACTATCTACAGTACACTACAATATGGTCATTTCAGTGGTATCAGATTGCTGTAACTGTATGGTGTAGATACATCCTCTTTGCTAAGAAACCACAGTTCCAAATCTTCCTTGGCCTTGCTGACTAGCTATTAAGTTGGCATCTTTTCTCCTAGATAATCAATGATAGTCCTTGGCAGTCCTTTGGAAGGGCTCCACCCATCTTCCGATTCTCATGACATAGCTAAAGCTTGACATTTTGGTGATGGGGGAGAGGGAAACGGTCTTATGTCTCTGTCAGCCCAGGAGTGGGCAATCTGCTTGTTTCCACTCCATACGTATCCAGCTTAGCAAGACCGTATTCCAGTTATTGAGGCAACTACAGTGACGATGGGAAATAATGTCTGATAAGGAGGTTATTCCCAGGGCTTTTCCTGAATGTTGGTTGCTTCACAAACCTTTGGGCTTATCGAGTGGATTCATTATGACTTGAGAAACCCTTCTTGGCAGGGAGGATTCTGAGCATCCCACAAAATTTTCTGCCCCCAGCCATGGGCAGAGCTTGGAAAGTTACTTCATTTTTTATTAATGTAACTTTCGTTTCTCTGCAGACCTTGCAAAATATTGCAGGACTGGGATGAGAGGTACTACGAAGCATATAGGCACGGAGTTCCTGCAGTCTGCTTGTAAGACAGCCCCATTAAATGCTGCTATTTACGTAGATCTCATTTTCAGCACACCCAGATCATTCTGCAGCTACAATTTAGAACATTACCACGAGTGCGTAAAAAATGGCAAATTGAATTAAACCTTTCAGGGCAAGCGACAATGTTCATGTGTGGAGATGGTCTTGGAAAATTGCCTGTTAGGACATAAATAAATCCAATGAGTTTGATTTATTATCTGTAATATTTCCTGGTTGTTTCCTATAGTTGCTTCTGAAAATACCTTGAATACTATAAATTCCATGGCTAGCTCATTGCAAATAGTTATCAAAGACATTTGACAGGTTATTAAATGCCAGTGCTGTACATTTTGGAGTGTTTTTTTCCTTTTTTTTCTTTTTTAGGTCTTTTCACAGAACATGCATTCTCCGCCAGTATGTGTGCTGACCTTTAATGAACATTTTGCTAAATGCTCTTGAACCGAATAGGAGGGTTCTACCCACCCCTTCTTCCCTCGTCAAAATGGAAATTTTAAGATGGCCTGATGAAAATGACAGGAAGTCATTGATTCCATAAAGGAAAGGAAAGGAGTATTCTTTCCCTCAGTGCATGCTTGTTTGGTCGGTTCATTTCCCCCCCCCCTTTTTCTATAGAGTAGGGGAGACTGAGAGAGAAGGACTGCTCCAAGTTTACACCACGTCTGTCATGGCCCAGCAGAGACCAGACTATGGATTTCTCAGTCCCAAATCCAACATGCTAGCCACTATATCATAGTGATTTCCATTTTAACTTCATAAAATGGAGCATTCTAAACTGTGATTACATAGGCTGGCTGGATAGTGCAGTATCTTAGGTATCTGGCTGTGGAGCCTGAGGTTCAGAGTCCAATCCCCCCTCCCCCGGTGCCTCCTGGAAGAGGAGACAGCCTGGGTGGCCTTGGGCAAGCTGCACAGTCCCAGGATGGCCCCAGAAGAAGGGAATCATAAGCCATTTTTGATTGTGAAAAGGGCCACCGTAAGTCAGGAGTGACTTGACTGTGGACATTCTGGGACTGTGCAGCTTGCCCAAGGCTACCCAGGCTGGCTGTTCCCCCAGGAGGCACAGTGGGGTATCAAACTCCCGTCCTCTGGCTCCACAGCCAGATACCTAAACCACTGAGATGTCCAGCAAGCTATTTTGTTTAAGGAACTGTGGAATCCTTGATTAGCTTCCAAAGAACCCTAGACCAAGACAATCTGAACGCCACTGAGCTGCCATATCAACAAACAAGAAGATTGTACATGCAGGATGTCATCCATCCATCTGTTCTGCAGTTTTGCCTTTACTCATTGTACACAATGAATTCCTGACCATATATATATATATATTTAAAGGGTAAAATGATGAAGTACTTTCTCAAAAATTTAAATCATATATTATTATAGAAATGTTTTTCCTCCCTCCAAGGCAGTTTACAAAGACCTCTTGCTGCTGCCACTGAGCAGATGATTGAACTCTATAGGAGTCCATGTTATAGCAATCCTCTTAGTAAAGCTAATGGCTATAATGCTCGAATTTTCAGGAGATTTAAAGATTATGCTGCTAGAGAGAACTCTGTTCTATATTTTTAAAAAAGCTCTCATCCGAGGATTGATCTCGGCTGGGACGCAGCGCTGGATGTATTATATGAAATGGAAAGTGAGGGGTCCACTTTTAGAAATATAAGCAAAGCATGCACACTGATGTATAGTTTTTCTTTATGCAGATCATTAGTGGTTATCAGCTGCCACCAAGTAACCTGTCTAAGAGTAATAAAGCTGACCCTTTAGTTAAAGTTGAAATCCATGGTGTTCCAGCAGATATCGCCAAACATCAGACGTCTGTCATAAAGAACAACGGTAAGTTAAAGTGGGGGGAAAAAGTTTCCTCAGACTGAATAAGAGGCTCATTGATTTAATTAAATAATTTACAAAGCCTGTCAAAGTCGCCCTCTTGTTAACACATGTCACATCCAGAAATTGGAGAATATTAATATATAACGGAATGACAAGCCCAGCTAAATTGTCTAGGGATGGGACAGAAATACATTCAGCCTGCTTTTCAGTGTGAATTCACCAGGGTCAGTCCTGCCTTTATCTTGGGAAAAGTGCCTGCCTCATAGAATCACAGAATAATTGAGTTGGAAGGGGCCTATAAGGCCCTCGAGTCCAACCCCCTGCTCGGTGCAGGCACCCACATCAAAGCAGATCTGACAGATGGAGGTCCAATTTTCTCTTGAATTTTTCCAGAATCGGAGTGCTCACCACCTCCCAAGATAATTGGTTCCATTGTCGTACTGCTCTAACAGTCAAGATGTTTTTCCTAATATTCAGCCGCAGGCAGGGGATGACAGAGGCAGTAAATTTGCTGCTCTTCTTCCCCCTGCCCTGACCTGTCACTGTTCCACACTTCTTTACTGCCTGAATTGAGGGGGATCCTCTCAATAGGACTTCTGGGAGGAATAAGGAAAAGTACCCATTCCGGTGATTTTTGAAAACAAGGGATGGGAATGATACTTCTTCATTCTTGTCTGTTAAGACTGTCTAAATACGAGACACCTCAGGGATGAAATTTCAATCCCTGTCAGATTCCTCACCTGCTTGAGAGTGAGACTGTGGGAGTTGTCGCTTCCTTTGAAGCCTGTTTGCAATTTGTGCAAGCTTCTCTCTGCACAAAACCAGTGTTGTTTCCTTTAAAAAAGTAGGAGAGATCCTCTCCCTCAACAAGCAAAGAATGAGTAGCTGATCAGAAAGAGAAAAACAACCCATCCAAACATGCAACAACTCTTGAGGCCAACAGGAAACCCACTGAATCAGTGGGATTTGCTTAAATGCGGACTCACCATTCAGGGATTCAGTGGGCCAACTCTAGCTGTTTCTATAGATGTAGGCAGTTTGTGCTCTATGTGCGTCATCTGTGCACCATTTACTTTAAAACCACCTTTCAAATGTGAAGATTCTAGGAAACTGTTGTTTAATCATTAAGTCTTGTCTGACTCTTCGTGACCGCTTTAAAACCACCTTGCAAATGTGAAGATTCTAGGAAATTGTTGTTTAATCATTAAGTCTTGTCCGACTCTTCGTGACCCCATGGGCCAGAGCACGGTGGGCCCTCCTGTCTTCCACTGCCTCCCAGAGTTGGGTCAAATTCATGTGGATCACTTCGGTGACCCTGTCCAACCATCTCATCCTCTGTTGCCCCCTTCTCCTCTTGCCCTCACACTTTCCCAACATCAGGGTCTAGGAAATACCTTCCCCTTTTTGTAGGCAAGGAAGATTTCTACAGTTTATCCTTCTTGCACACGAAAACAAGTGTAAATTTGCATATCTAACCAAAACCATCGGGCCTGATTCTGAAGATACCATACAGTGAAGGCTGAACAGGCTACCATTACCTAATCCTATTTTTCCTTCTTTGGGATGAGGGTGCCCTGGATCCTACTGTGCTCTCTTCCTTTGGACCACTGTGCCCGTCTCTTCTGTGGACAGGATAGGGTCTGAAAGCTGCTGTTCCTTCCTCTTCAAAGGGGGCGGGTGGGAAGGGCCTGGTAAGTTCCGCCACTGCTGCTGTGGTGTCCACCATCTTTTTCTCCAGTAGGCAGGCACTGTGGCCAATGCCCTCTCCTCATGAAAACAAATGCTATCTGTGCAACCCAGCTTCTCGTTTAGATAATGAATGCTCAATTTTTTGCCTCCTTCTGAACTGTCTTTTGGTGATTTCGTTGGAAGAAGCACACTTCAAAAACAACCAATTTTCTGTTGCTTTCGACTTAACAGTAAGCCTTTTCAGTATATCTGAGATGTTCATTCACCATTGCCACCCCTTAGTGAATTTCCCTGGCCAAGCAGATTGAAACCCAGATCTCCTAGTCCAACATTATCTCCTATTTTAAACTCACTCTCATTTTCTGACATCCCTATTGTTGATAATGTGAGATATATTTATTGGTGATAAAAAGTCCTACAATGAAGCTTAGCTATCTTTCTCTCATGGGGTAAAATCCTGTTCCATTCCACTGAGTGGAATGTTATGCCAGAGTAAACTGAATCCAAGTGCTGGAAATAATCAGTTTAAATGAATCAAATGCTTCTTATTACCCTATCCCTACCTGTGGCTCCTTTTTGCCCTGAGGAAACCTTTGGGAAATTTCGGATGGTGGGCCAAAACTTTTAATAATGACCAAATCACAGCTGGAAAGGGTCCTGATCCTGGCAGTAGTGATCTGACCAAAAATTTTGACAATTAAAAGCTCCTCCCTCCATCCAAGGCTCCCTAAAACTTCACTAGGAAACAAGGGAGCTCCGGGGAGATAGGAAGTTTTCAGTGCATTTTAATTGATTATTTCCAGTACTCTGATTATGTTGGCCAAGCTGTGTGAACAGGATTTTGCCTATTATGAGAGTTCAGTGACCTGTCGGAGAACAGGGAATGCCTTGAAAATGTATAGTGGACATTTATGGAAGAGGCAAAATGAGGCAGGATTTTCATGTATCTTCAAAAAGCATTACATTCCTCATGGTTAAAGTTAAAAACTGTATTAAAAATGTATATCAGACATGTTTTTCTCCCCTTTTTATTTCAGCTCTGAATCCTCAGTGGAATGAAACTTTCACATTTAACGTCCATGTACCAGATCTTGCCTTAGTACGCTTTGTTGTAGAAGATCAGATGGCATTAACTTCTAATGACTTCCTTGGTCAATTTACTTTGCCAGTTTTAAGCATGAATAAAGGTAAGTGTTGCACTGCAGGAAAGATGCACAGGGAGAGTTAAGGAAGAAGTAGCCGTGTTCGTTTGTGCAAGCATAGACCAAAACAACAACAACTGCAACACAAAAATGAAAGAACAAGAGAGAAAAACATTTATGTCACCTTAAAAACCAACTGCTGTATTTTAATGCAAGCTTTTGTGGATCAAACCCACTTCATCAGTCAGTGAGAATTAAGAACTGCAAACCCCCTTTGCAAAACCACACACACCCCTGCTACCATCAAAAAAGCATAGGCGGGTTATGGTAGATTTACACAGCGACAAATTTTATAATGAGGTGTGATTGAAAACGGACCTTGAACCTCCCTTCTCCTCCATATGTTAACAAAATTTATTGCTGCTACAGATTATCCCATTAAGGATGACTATTTTGATCTGCAGCCTGATAACAAGGCTTTTAAGCATTAAGCCCTCAAAACCTTATGGCTGGTTAGATAAAACAGTCTGCTTTGATTTCTCACACATGTACATTTTTAAAACCCCCAGTTTTTTCCATCTTGAACATGAGGAAGGCTGTGAATGTTCTTGAATCCTGGTTTTTAAAGAATCTGAAATTTTCTCCCATTCGTAAAACTCACTGGTTGCTTGGTACAGTCGAGTATTAGGAATTTACCACTTAGTGCAAAACCTCTGTGTTAGGATAGGTAGACACTAGAGATAAATGCAAACTGGAAAAATGGGGATATGTGATAGTTTGTGGTTAGTGGCTACCCACAAATCACAGCCTCCCCAATGAACTGGCCTGCAGTTCATTTTTCAGGTTTGTGTTGGGGGCCCCCCTGCCTGTCCACCCCCTTCCCACTGACCTGTCATCTCACGATCTGATTCTGCCGCTGCGTCTGCCACTGCCACCACCCCACCCCACCCAGGGACAGCGATCTCACTTTCCTTCCAGGAGCCAGTCCTGCTGCCTCTGTGCATGCACCCCCTTACGAATTGGGCACATGCACAAAGGGCAGCAGGCCCGGATCCTGGAAGGGAAGTCAGGCCCGCTGTTTCTGAGGAGAGTGGTGGCAGCAGCACCAGAGGTGGCAGAAACAGGGAGGGGAATGGGGAGCAGTGGGAAGGAGGCCGATGGGCATCCATTTTGCTGAAGCAAAACCAAGTGCTGGGGGGGGGAGGAGTTCAGCACTTTGTTTGGCCAAAGCAAAACAGGGCCCCTGAACTGAGTCGTGAACAAACCTGATTTGTTGGTTTTTCTGGTTCATGCCCATCTCTAGTGGACCTTAAAATAATATTTCATTTAATCTGTAATTATAACTATTATCTAGACATACAATGTTTATTTTACTCTAATTAGTTCTTTTTCTGTTTATTTGGTCTGTGGTCAGCTCCATTAAATCAATTTTAATACAGAAGGCATTTCTACATCCTGGGACTACAGTTCTCCCTGCTTTTGTTTGTTTGTTTGTTTCTGTTGACCTATTAGATGTTAATTGCATATCTCCAATGAGCCCAATGAAACAACATTCCCTTTAATTTTCAATCCTGCTGGGTGGGCCTCCACCCCCATCGTGTGTGATTCTGCTCCCCCAAGCGTGGGGTTCCATCATGACCAAAACCTAAGAAGCTTGAAACGCTCACTATGGATGTGCGGAGGGAGTGGAGTCACGCCTACTTGCACAGCCATACAACTTAGAGGGAACCTTTCCAATGAGCCATACACAAAAGCAGAATTTTACCTACTAAAAATAATTTGATGGTTGTGGAATCAGATTCAGTCAACTGGTTTGCTATATTTTTTGCAACTTGTAAAGGTAAAGGTTGCCCTTGACATTTAGTCCAGTTGTGTCCGACTCTAGGGTGCAGTGCTCATCTCTGTCTCCAAGCCTTAGATCCAGCGTTTGTTCATAGACAGTTTCCGTGGTCACGTGGCCAGTGCGACTAAACATGGAATGCTGTTACCTTCCCACTGAGATGGTACCTATTTATCTGCTCACATTTGCATGCTTTCGAACTGCTAGGTTGGCAGGAGCTGGGACAAGTGACAGGAGCTCCCTCCATTGTGTGGAACCATCATGAAATATTTAGGCTGTAACAAAATGGCAACATCTATATACTGTCAAACTGCATCTGACAATCTTATTATGGAAGGGAAAGCTGTCTCTTTATCAATATCAGGAAAACCATAAATAAAAAGGCCTTAAAATCTACTGGTGGGAAGTTAGCAGTGCCACTAAATGGAAAGGTAATTTTCTAGAAGAGCTAAATCAAGTTAATCTCTACTATTTGCCAAAAGCACAAAAGCAGACAATGAAGCCTCTTCTTGTTTTGTAAAATTAAATCACTTTTTTTCCCCTGCTGTGGGACCCTCAGTGCATTCTTCACAATGAATGCATAGCCCAAGAGCCAAAGGAGATTTAAGTGTGCTTAACACAATCAATGGCAAATTGGTTTAAGCTTATGTTGAACTGTGAACATTTCATTCCTGCCTGTGCAGCCGACCCATTCCCTTAACCAGAATTGTAGGATGTGAACTTGAAAATGCCACCTCAATTACAATGAAAGGATCATCCTCTGTATATGTTGTAGCTACACAGCTTCTGCACTCACAGCAAGTTGTTAGACTCAGGGTGATATTCATTATTCTAATATGGTAAAGAGAAAGCTGGCCCTATCATTAGGTAAAGTGGAGCAATAACCTCAGACCACAAATACTGGAGCACAGCAACAGCAGTTTCCTGATTGTTCTTCCTGAACATCGTAGTTTTTTCTTTTCTTTTTTTGAACACAGTTGTGTGTGTCACACAACATGTCCTGGGTCTCCCTAACCTGACCTACTGTTTCAGGTACAGTGGTGCCTGGCTAGACAGTTACGGTACCCTTCATGACAGTTTTTTCGCTAGACATTGACTTTTTGCGATCGCTATAGTGATTCGCAAAACAGTGATTCCTATGGGGGAATTTCACTGGACAATGTTTGGTCCCTGCTTCGCAAACTGATTTTCGCTAGATGACGATTTTGACAGCTCCCTCTGCACTCGCAAAACAGGTGTTTTCAGGACCGAAGCTTCGCAAGATAGCGATTTAAACAGCTGATCGGTGGTTCGCAAAGTGGCTTTCCTACGGCCAATCTTTGCTAGACAACGACAATTCTTCCCCATTGGAACGCATTAGACAACGACAATTCTTCCCCATTGGAACGCATTCCAATGGGGAAATGCTTTTCGCTAGACAATGATTTCGCTAAACAGCGATTTCAGTGGAACAGATTATCATTGTCTAGCGAGGCACCACTGTATGGTATCCCAACCATCAGCATACAAGCTTGTGCATTTGAACGTTGAAGTGCAGTCAGTATATTATCTTTTGCTTTAAGCAGCAAAATATCTTGAGCCAAGCCTGAAGGAGACTAATTCTAGGTGGTCAGTTTTAGCTGCATGACAAACATTCCTTTCTGGTTCATAGATTTCACCTGTGTGTCGTTGCAGGCCATCGTACTTTCCAACGCTTGGAAATAACTAGTTATGAGTTCTTCTAACTACTTACTTGCGGCGTAACAAGTAATATAATGAATAGTTATGAAATAAAGGTAGAGAACAATTTCCAATAGAGCTCGGCATGAAGTGCAGTTTGGCAGTTCAAACTGGTTTGGTGCTGCACCCGCATAGGTGTTCCATGAGTACCATGCGCTTCCTTCCCCTGTCTCCTCCAGACAATCGCCCATTCACCTGCAGCAGTGAGCTTCCTTCCTCTGCCTCCTCTGCCACTCACTAGCAACAGCACAACTCCTTCGCCTCCTCCAGCAGCCACCCACTCAGATGAGGAGGTGGGGCGGGCAAGCCCAAGGTGCCACCAATGAACAGGTGGTCATGTGGAGGAGTCAGAGGAGGGAGGTGTGTGTCACCCACAGGAGCACCTATGAGAGCACTGCGCCAAAAGGGGCCGAACCACCGAACTGAGGTTTGTGCTCATCTCTAATTTCCTGACTTACTCTTCCATGCAATTACAAGTCAGGTACACTTTGGACCTTTGAAAACTTCTCAGCCTGCAGAGCCATTTTCCATAGTACAATTTTGCAATCATTGTTCAGAACACAGCCGTTTTTTAAAAAAATGCCTGTGGAATACCTCTACCACTAATCTAAATTAGAATCGACGCTCCGTTCTTTGGGTGCATTATCAAGATCACTGGCTTGCTGTCTCTTTGCATTCTCAATTCAGAATCAGAATGAGTGAAGCTTTGTCATGGCAATTTCTCTGCTGTTCTGGTATTCTCCCCAGTCTCAGTTGATCTGTGCCTGCTGTTCTGAGTTGATTGTTCTGGAACGGACTCACAGTAACCTTGGTGGATCTGCCCATTTTGGAGGCCTGTAGCCTGTGGCAAGCCATGAGTTATGCTCTACAAGCAGAGGGATGTTCTTTAAATCTTTTGAGGGGAAGGTATTAAAAGTATGGGACACATATTTCAAGCCGGACAGAAATGTGCACAGGGACAACAGCTGAAGGCTAGTATCCTGTCTGCCCACTCCACCTGGACAACCATAAATTGTAGACGTGGTTGGGCTTTTTCTAAATTACCACCCATCAGCTTCCCAAATGCAGTTGCTTCTCAGCCAACCATGGGGACAATTCCAGGCTTCAACAGGCCTTGGGGCTAAGACACGGCAGGAAAAGAAGCCAGAATCTTGCCTTGCCCCCTGCAGCTTCTGGCTGTGAAGAACCTGGAAGCCAGATGTTACCCCCATGGCCAGCTGTGAAGCATCATGTTTTGCTTTTGCAATTCAAAGGGGGGGAAACGGGGAGCTGCTGTTATCCTATTCTGTGAGTGTTGTACTGAAGTGGTGGAAGAGGGGCTTTGGCAGTGTGAATCCTACGCATGTTTCAATCTATAATTGTGGATAGGATACTGGCCTATGTATGGGTAGTGTTGATAGATTAGGGGCATCCCATTTGTAGAGGTCTCAGGAACAGAACCTGAGGCCCAGAGGCCCTTGTGATGTTGTGGTGGGCAGAGAACCATTGGCAACAGTGGCAAAGTTATGTGTGAGAAAGACAGACAGACAATGCCGACACCCAAGTGAATTTTAAAGGCCAACATGTACACTTCTGGAGCAAAAGTGGCTCTAGAGCATGCAAGGTAGTTAAAAAGACTGGAATGCCAATGAAGATGTTTTAATGGCAGGTCTTCCAACCATGTGAACGACAGCGAACCTCCAAAGCAAAGGTTTCTGAACTGGGCAGTGACCCATGATCTCAGGTTTCAGTTCCAAAGCCTGAGATTTGGAGAATGGGCTCCAACATCTGAACTTCGGAGACAAATGAATCCTGAGATCAGGCCAGTCATCAGACCTACAGTATAAACTATCCGGGTCTCAGACGGCTGCCTGAAATCTCAGGGGGTTGCTACGTGTAACAGAGAACATTGGTGCCCCATCTCCTCTTGGGCTCGGCCGATATACAGCGCAGCTTCCATTCTGATTCAAGAGTTATCCCAAGAGGACGCGCAAACTGACACAAAAAACACGCGGCTTTAATCTGACTTCAAAAACCTCCATCTAGAGCTCCCGGTTAATTTCCACAGGGTAGCCACAACTGAAAGAAAGAGAGAGAAGAGTCACTTGATGTGAGGCAAAGTCAAAAGGAACTGCTGAAACAGATCAGGGAAAGGCTAGAAGAAACACAGTGATAAGAGAGATGGAATGCCTGACAGTCAACCAGCCCAGCATTCTTTATATTGTATTCAAGGTCTGAAAATAAAGGTCTTCTCACGCACCCCTATTTTAATTGGTACCTCTATTTGTTCAGGGAAACTCCTGGACTCTAGCCATGCACTGACGGAATGTAAAAAGATGCTCGGTCCATGCTGGCTGTGGAATTTTGGAGTTGAATATCTCAGTCCGTTGGGTCTCTGGCTTCAGAGCCAGAGGTTGGCAGCTCAATTCCCCCACGGTGCCTCCTACGAGTGGAGCCAGCCTGGGCAGCCTTGGGTAAGCTGCACAGTCTCAAGGTGCCACCAGAAGAAGGGAACGGTGAACCAGTGTATTCTATAGCTAGAAAACTCTGGAAAGGGTTGCCATAAGTATCGACTTGATGGTGCACAATTATTATATTCTTAAAAAGAGAGAGCAATGTTTTTCGACTTTGGGTGTATGTTGCAACGATGAATTCAATTTAAATCTTACTTTCTTGTTGCCTTTTAGGTTATCGCCACGTTCCACTGGTCTCCAAACTCGGGGTAACCCTCAAGCCTGCCTCCCTCTTTGTGTACATTTGGTACTTTCCGCAATAATATCACCACTGATCCCCTGCCTGCCATTTCAATAAAGCAACCATGATCAAAGCAGCAAAATTACAAGATTCCTTCCTCCTAGAGGTGCCATACATTTGCAATATGTTACAGACGTTAGTGTGATGATTGCTGTGACTTAAGAGGCTACATGTAAGGACAAGATTTTCTTTTTTAGGGTTTCTTTTTCTAAGATTGTGTGGGAGGAAAGCAGGTTTCACAGCCCACTGTGCTTGTCCCTGTTGCAGAGTTTTGAATTCCTAGTACTGTAAAATTCTCTTTTTGCTGCATAGAAGAGAATAGCTTACAAGGTAACACAGAGTCCGCTCCTTTCTCATTAACTGTCACTTAAAGTCTAAATAACTCGCTCTGAAACATTTGCAGAAGAAAGAACAACAGCAAAAAAATCTTATACTTGCTTGAACTTACAGACTTCTGCATGCTACTTTCTTTACTGCACATGTAGTAGCACCCAACTGAACAGATCAGCAGCAACGAAGAACTTCCTTTAACTGATCAAAGAGGAAACTTTTCCAAGTTCTGTCAATCCATTAAGGAAACCACCTAAATTAGTGCCCATCATAGCCATGCCTTGTGGCAGTCAGTTCCAGAAGATAATTATGCCCTCTGTGCAGCACACCAGCAAGGCATTTAACTATTCTGCTCTCAGGGCAGAGCTTTCAGATATGCAGCCCTTGTCTGGAAGGATCATCCCTTGATAAAGTTGCATTCCTGAAATATACATAAGTCCCAGCATACACAGTGGGTAAAATGACAGGCCATGCTACGTTGGAAATATATCCCAAATGAGTAAACTTTCTGAACTCTGCAGTTTTTAAAATGTTAATTTTTAAAAAATTAGCTTTGAAAAACTAAAATACATATTAATGAGAGGATCTCATAATTGCCCCGGACTGTGTGTGGAGCCCCTTCCTGGCAGTTTGGGCCACCATTTTCCTGAGAAATGGCTGGTGATTAGGGGCTAACTAGAGAATTGACACATAAGCTCAAATTGAGCTCAGTTGGCTTGCACAGTCCAGAGCTGGTGGTTTTGTGAGATAAACATGGCTTAGGACAAGAAACAGGACTTGTATTGAGCAGAGAATGCATTAATGGAATGACTGGCATTATCCAACTTTTTGGACCACTCTTAAAGCTAAGCCACCGTACAGCCTGGGGAAATTAACCTCCCACTCAGTGAAGGGAGTAATAAGGAGCTACTCAAGCAAAAGCTTTCTTGTGGCTTCATCATTTTCAGAAAACAACATGCCATCTTTATGATTTTGAATTCTACAAAAAATAAAAAGCTTGGCTTACACACATACACACACACACAGAGAGAGAGAGAGAGAGAGAGAGAGAAAGTGAGGATCAGGGCCAATATTTTGATTGCTGGTTTAGTACACTGGGGAAAAAAGTGTTCTTGGCATCCTGCTTTAGCTGTCCTCCCTCCCACCAAAAAAAAAAAAACTTCTCTTGTTATTACCCCTCAATAAATACTGATTTTGGATGCTTCTTAATAAACGCGGGGCATTTTTTTGGGGGGGGGTTACAAAAATTAGTTTCCTTACTTTTTACTAGAAATAAATGTAGACATTTGCTTTCTGTAACTACTATGTGACCCAACATTGTTTTTCTGTTGTTACTGTTCAATAGGGGTGGTCCCCAATACAACCTGTTTCCCTATAGCAGTGGTTCTTAACCTTTGTTACTCGGATGCTTTTGAACTGCAACTCCCAGAAACCCCAGTCAGCACAGCTGGTGGTGAAGGCTTCTGGGAGTTGCAGTCCAAAACTCCTGAGTAACCCAAGGTTAAGAACCAGTGCCCTATAGGATCACACTCTGAGTTGCATAAATTCCATAGGGATCTTTTGATACCTTTAAACAAAAAGCGTGCCACAGAATCGCAGAGTCTGCCATTCATGTACCATTCGTAGAATAGCTGATGTACGTGCCCTCACAGAGGGTGCATTTGGTGGCTGCATGCTCTCTTCTAGCTCCTATTTCGATTTTATTTGTGTAGTAGCAATCCTTTTTTAAAAAATCAAGCATTTTTATGTAATTTGTTCTGATTTTTTTTTAAAAAATCCTCAGCTGGATTTGATTCCCCAATGTACCTTGTTAGCGAAGAGCCAGCCTGTGTGGTTTGAGACGCCACCTTGCCGACAAAGGTCGGCATAGTCAAAGCTATGGTTTTTCCAGTAGCGATGTATGGAAGTGAGAGCTGGACCATAAAGAAGGCTGACCACCGAAGAATTGATGCTTTTGAATTGTGCTGGAGGAGACTCTTCAGAGTCCCCTGGACTGCAAGGAGAACAAACCTATCAATTCTAAAGGAAATCAACCCTGAGTGCTCACTGGAAGGACAGATCCTGAAGCTGAGGCTCCAATACTTTGTCCATCTCATGAGAAGACTCCCTGGAAAAGACCCTGATGTTGGGAAAGTGTGAAGGCAAGAGGAGAAGGGGATGACAGAGGACAAGATGGTTGGACAGTGTCACTGAAGCGACCAACATGAATTTGACCAAACTCCAGGAGGCAGTGGAAGATAGGAGGGCCTGGCATGCTCTGGTCCATGGGGTCACAAAGAGTCGGACACAACTTAATGACTAAACAACAACAACAACACAGTTCCTGAGTGCCCCCCGAAGAAAGGAGAGGTAAATATCTTTCCCATACTCTATACCATGAAAAAAAAATTGAATGGGTAGCCATAAACTGGAATCAATTTGACAGTATATAATCATTAATTATTGGGTACGTTGTTACTGTGTTCTCTTCTATTCACTGCTTTTGGTGCAGGGGGGGAAAAGGTCATGTTACTGTATGTTCTTAAAGCTCTTTGTTTTGCTTTGGAGTGTTCAAAACTGTTCCAGGAATTGTATTCATAGGCCACACATAAACATCAACAGTAAATAAATGTGATGCAGTGTTTCTGTTCAAGGAGAATAAGCCAAGTGATCTTTCCTTATGAATAGAAAAGTTCATTGTTGCAAATGAATCTAATGCTACAGTGTAAGTCAACTGGTTTTTGAGCCACTCAGAAGCATTATAGTTACATTTCAATTTGGAACCCATGGATATGAGAATACTCACCAAGAGAATAAATCATCTGATAAATGTTTCCCCGGAGGGTTTGCTCCACAGCACATTTTAATAAAAGTGAAATTGGTATCTGTGCCGATCACCCACGTCACTCATGCCATTCATATTCATGAGCTGATTTGCATGTACCTATGAGAGGACTGGAGAGGCGGAGTCAGCAGCTACATGAGGCTTGGTGGGAGAAGGAGGAGTCGGATAAGGCTGATTAGTCAGAGAGAAATGGAACATATACTGAGAGATAGAGCTGGTCAAGAAAATAGGTAGAGAAGGTAGCAATGATATAGCAAGAGAAAAGAAGTACCGTATGTACTGAGAGAACTGTTGATGAATTGCTTCGGAATAATGTGTATCTGAAGAACTTATGTTGTTATTCAATCTGCTTCACTTCAATAAATAAGTGCTGTTTCTGTTCACATGACAAGTGTTCAGACAAGTGTCATTTATATTGTGGATTGAGGTAATCCACTGGTAGCAGCGAGAGGAAAACGTGATGTGAGCCTTTGTGAGGGAAAGACAAGCTGGGGCCACAAGGGCCAACGCCACAGTATCATATACACAAGAAACAGTATGAGGAATGATTAGGGAGTTTTCGGATCAAATACAGATTTGCTTGCATAACAAGCAGGAGAAATTGTGTCGGAAATGAAGAGAGGGAGAAACACACAATCTGGATCCAGGCAATAATTTTATTAGGCCAAGCCAAAATACTATAAAAAGTGGTTACCCTATACCCTGCTGCACTGTTTAGCATTTCATACTCCAATACCTACAATCATCTGGTAAAATAAATCATCATCCCCATTCAGGCTGTTTATGGGAGGCTGAAGGCCAACGTGGGACTTTTATTAAAGGCTCAGAGTCAGCTCCTTCTGCCCCTTCCCTCACATTCCAAGGGGGTTGAGTTTCTGGCACTAACTCTCTGGGCACAGTTTGTCCAGCTGGGGCCCCAGTTGGCTTCACTAGTGTCCCTGAAAGTCCAGGTCCGGAGAAGTGTACAGGAAGCATGAGTCCTGATCTGGGGAGGATTGGTAAGTGAGTGAGGTGAGTGACAGGAAATGGTTTCCACACCACTGGCTGTCTTGCAGTTCTCTTTTGCTGTGCCTGTTGCCACTTGCATGTCAAGCACTGGTCTGTGTTGAAATAGGCTCTGTGGAAAAAAATTACCATATCTTTCCATGTATAAGACTATAGTTTTGTTTAAAATCTTTAGACTAAAAATTGAGGGTTGTCTTATACACGGAAGTAAGCTGAGGAGAGAGAAAACAAGTGGAGGGGAAAGCAGAAATCAAAGTGATCCTGCAGGGCTTTGATCCCTGTTTTCCCCTCCACTTGCTAAGCCTTAGCAAAAGGAAAGCAGAGATCAAAGTGCTGCAGGATGGCTTTGATCCATGTTTTGCCCTCTGCTTACTAAGTCCCATGGGGCTTAGCAAGTGTAGGGGGAAAGGATCAAAGCAATCCCATGGCTGTATAAGTGGGAAAGGGATCAAAACAATCATGTAGTCACAGGATTGTTTTGATCCCTTTCCCCCTCCTTTTGCTAAGCCCCGTGGGGCTTAGCACAAAGGGAGAAAGCAGGTATCAAAGCAGTCCTGCAGTACTTTGATCCTTTCCCCCTTACACTTCCTAAGCCCCACTTAGATTTCTTAATTTTGGGTTAGAAAAGTGGGGGGCATCTCATACATGGGGGTGTCTTATACACAGAAAAATATGGTACTTAACTGTTAGAGCAGTATGATAACGGAACCAATTACCCTGGGAAGTGGTGAGCACTCCAAGGCTGGAGGCATTCAGGAGAAAATGGCACAACCCTCTGCCAGATCTGCTTTGATTTGGATTCCTGCACTGAGCCCCAACAGCCTTATAGGTCCCTTCCAATTCCATTATTCTATGATTCTTAGTTGTGCAGCTCTGTGCATTACAAATAATGTTTACTCTGATTTTTTTTAACTTGC